AATGATGATCCCTCTTCCTGTTGTGACCTCCTCATCCAGTTTTCCTCTCTACAGTTCCCTCTTTTTGAAAACTTATTCCCCATTCTCTTGATGGTTCTTGAATAAACAATAAGAATGCATTTAGCTCTAATTTGAAATGATGATCCCTCTTCCTGTTGTGACTTCCTCATCCAGTTTTCCTCTCTACAGTTCCCTCTTTTTGAAAACTTATTCCCCATTCTCTTGATGGTTCTTGAATAAACAATAAGAATGCATTTAGCTCTAATTTGAAATGATGATCCCTCTTCCTGTTGTGACCTCCTCATCCAGTTTTCCTCTCTACAGTTCCCTCTTTTTGAAAACTTATTCCCCATTCTCTTGATGGTTCTTGAATAAACAATAAGAATGCATTTAGCTCTAATTTGAAATGATGATCCCTCTTCCTGTTGACCTCCTCATGACCTCCTCATCCATGGTTTTTCCTCTCTACAGTTCCCTCTTTTTTGAAAACTTATTCCCCATTCTCTTGATGGTTCTTGAATAAACAATAAGAATGCATTTAGCTCTAATTTGAAATGATGATCCCTCTTCCTGTTGTGACCTCCTCATCCAGTTTTCCTCTCTACAGTTCCTCTTTTTTGAAAACTTATTCCCCATTCTCTTGATGGTTCTTGAATAAACAATAAGAATGCATTTAGCTCTAATTTGAAATGATGATCCCTCTTCCTGTTGTGACCTCCTCATCCAGTTTTCCTCTCTACAGTTCCCTTTTTGAAAAACTTATTCCCCATTCTCTTGATGGTTCTTGAATAAACAATAAGAATGCATTTAGCTCTAATTTGAAATGATGATCCCTCTTCCTGTTGTGACTTCCTCATCCAGTTTTTCCTCTCTACAGTTCCCTTTTGAAAACTTATTCCCCATTCTCTTGATGGTTCTTGAATAAACAATAAGAATGCATTTAGCTCTAATTTGAAATGATGATCCCTCTTCCTGTTGTGACCTCCTGATCCAGTTTTCCTCTCTACTGTTCCTCTTTTTTGAAAACTTATCCCCATTCTCTTGATGGTTCTTGAATAAACAATAAGAATGCATTTAGCTTTAATTTGAAATGATGATCCGTCTTCCTGTTGTGACCTCCTGATCCAGTTTCCTCTCTACTGTTCCCTCTTTTTGAAAACTTATTCACCATTCTCTTGATGGTTCTTGAATAAACAATAAGAATGCATTTAGCTCTAATTTGAAATGATGATCCCTCTTCCTGTTTGACCTCCTGATCCAGTTTTTCCTCTCTACAGTTCCCTCAGAAAAAACTTATTCACCATTCTCTTGATGGTTCTTGAATAAACAAGAATGCATTTAGCTCTAATTTGAAATGATGATCCCTCTTCCTGTTGTGACCTCCTGATCCAGTTTTCCTCTCTCTATAGTTTCCTCTTTTTTAAAAACTTATTCCCCATTCTCTTGATGGTTCTTGAATAAACAATAAGAATGCATTTAGCTTTAATTTGAAATGATGATCCCTCTTCCTGTTGTGACCTCCTGATCCAGTTTTCCTCTCTACTGTTCCCTCTTTTTTAAAACTTATTCACCATTCTCTTGATGGTTCTTGAATAAACAATAAGAATGCATTTAGCTCTAATTTGAAATGATGATCCCTCTTCCTGTTGTGACCTCCTGATCCAGTTTTCCTCTCTACTGTTCCCTCTTTTTTTAAAAACTTATTCACCATTCTCTTGATGGTTCTTGAATAAACAATAAGAATGCATTTAGCTCTAATTTGAAATGATGATCCCTCTTCCTGTTGTGACCTCCTCATCCAGTTTTCCTCTCTACTGTTCCCTTTTTTTAAAACTTATTCACCATTCTCTTGATGGTTCTTGAATAAACAATAAGAATGCATTTAGCTCTAATTTGAAATGATGATCCCTCTTCCTGTTGTGACCTCCTCATCCAGTTTTCCTCTCTACTGTTCCTCTTTTTTAAAACTTATTCACCATTCTCTTGATGGTTCTTGAATAAACAATAAGAAGGCATTTAGCTCTAATTTGAAATGATGATCCCTCTTCCTGTTGTGACCTCCTGATCCAGTTTTCCTCTCTACTGTTCCCTTTTTTAAAACTTATTCACCATTCTCTTGATGGTTCTTGAATAAACAATAAGAATGCATTTAGCTCTAATTTGAAATGATGATCCCTCTTCCTGTTGTGACCTCCTCATCCAGTTTTCCTCTCTCTACTGTTCCTTTTTTAAAACTTATTCACCATTCTCTTGATGGTTCTTGAATAAACAATAAGAATGCATTTAGCTCTAATTTGAAAAATGATGATCCCTCTTCCTGTTGTGACCTCCTCATCCAGTTTTCATCTCTACTGTTTCCCTTTTTAAAACTTATTCACCATTCTCTTGATGGTTCTTGAATAAACAATAAGAATGCATTTAGCTCTAAGTTGAAATGATGATCCCTCTTCCTGTTGTGACCTCCTCATCCAGTTTTCCTCTCTACTGTTCCCTCTTTTTTAAAACTTATTCACCATTCTCTTGATGGTTCTTGAATAAACAATAAGAAGGCATTTAGCTCTAATTTGAAATGATGATCCCTCTTCCTGTT